TTTAATCCCATAGATCTCTGTGTGTTCAGGGATACAGCCAGCATTGGAGACATATGCCTTTAAGACCTAGGGGGCTGTACATTCAGACAGTGACGAGGTAGTCACGTGTTTGGTTTTACAACCAATGAGAAGGCAGAACAATAATACTATAAAAAAGATGTACAGACAGGATATAGCTCTCTTTCGGGAAGCTGGGACAGCGGAAGGCTGAGGAAGGAGACACTGCAGCCACCGCCAGGATAAGCAGCATGTAAAGACTCTTGTAAGCCACCAGCCACGTGGCAAGGTATAGATTTATAAAAATGGTTTAATTTAAGATAAAAGAACAGTTAGCAAGAAGCCTGCCACGGCCATACAGTTTATAAATAATATAAGTGTCTGAGTGATTATTTTATACGTGGATTGTGGGACAGCGGGGCTTGGTGGAGCCTGGAGAGAAGCCCTCCAGCAACAGACATTGATATTCTTAGGTATTATTTTCAACTCTTCTTTTTTCTCATTGTTATAATTATTTTGTCTGTGAATTTAGAGATTTGTTATAATCCTAAATTTGCTTTTGTAAATTTTCATAGGCGAACATATGATCAATATAAATGTGAATATGTGCAATCACACATCATATCAGAAAAGTTCATTTTATTATTTTCTTTAATTTTTATATTTTTAAACATTTATCAAATATGCACATATACAATTTTTTTCATTAGTTTAGATTATTTTAACATAAAATGCATCCTGATTATAGTTCCCCTACCCTTAACTTTTATCAGGTCCTTTCTACCTCATCTCCCTTCTGCACCCACAACATTTTGATCTCTTCCTAGAAAAGTAGAGGCTTTTAAGAGATAACCAAGCATAACAAAATAAAGCATAGTAAGATGGAGCAAGAAATATTTTTTCAGTTTTTGACATGACAAACCAATTGGAGAAAAAGTGTCCCAAGTGCAGGTAACTTGGGTTTCAGATGGCATAAGTCTTTCTTCCAATAATGTTAATGTAATTAATGATATGTCCATATTTGAAAATTTTAAATTTACCTTCTATTTGTTCCTTCCAAATCCACTATTGCTCATTTCCACATATATCTTTGCCCTATTTTGATAATGTTTCTGTTTTCTTAAGACTATCAATCCAATTAGCGCTGCCTATGTGTGTATGACAGGGGCATAATATCCTACAGTGAGGGAAAAGTCCAACACCAGCCCAAGAAAGAGACTGAATCTCACTTTAGCTGCAGACATCAATGACCAATACCTCTTCAGCTAGAAATTGTGCTTCTCATTTTTTTGCCATTTGTATACTGTAATTAAAACTCTCTTCATCTTGAAAATTCTGGTGAACGTAACATGGCCTTCTGCTCATTTATATGTGCATCACTGAAGTCATTTTATATCATGGCATTTCAAATAACTCCCCATTTCTCTGACAATTGCAACTTTTATAATGTCTTATAATTTTTTTTATCATATTTCTATTCTTGGGTGTGTCGTAACCATGCAGAGAAGCCTTTTTTGTTGTTTTTTTTTTTTTGACACGTGGTTTCTCTGTGTATCTTTGCGCCTTTCCTGGAATCCACTTGGTAGCCCAGACTGCCTCGAACTCACAGAGATCTGCCTGGCTCTGCCTCCCGAGTGCCGGGATTAAAGGCCTGTGCCACCACCGCCCGGCTGAGAAGCTTATTTTTAAGAATATTCTGCAGTTAGTTTCTTCTGCATTTACTCATTACAAGAAAAGGTTTCTCATACCTTGGTGGAGTTCAGCACTAACTTATGGATATGAATATCAGTATTAGGGAGTCAGTTTGAAAACACAATAATTTAGAAAAGTGAAAATGGTCCCTCCTTAAGGATGCATGTCTTGTATGAGTTTTCACAAAATTTAGAATTCCAGATTTGAATGAACTCATGTACACCAGACCACCTCAAGTTCAATCAAGAGAACTGCTAATAGATCCCTTAAACACGTGTTCTATGGTTCACCAGGGGGTCATCTCGGGCAGATGATGAGTATTGAGGCCTGAGAGATCAAGTGAGACGTTTGGTGCCTTTTCTTCAGCCTTTGTCCGTGTAGAATCTTAATAATTGTAAAAGCTAGCCATGGAAGAGAATGCTTTCTTCTCATTTTAAAGCATTCTTCTTTTATAAAATTTATTTATTCATATATTTTATGTAAAAACCAGAATAAGAAATCTGATCCCATTACAGATGTCTCTGTGCCACCTTGTGGGTGCTGGGAATTGAACTCAGGACCTCTGGAAGAGCAGTCAATGCTCTTAACCACTGAGCCATTGTCTGTCCAGCCCCTAAAAGCAAGTTTGTTTTTGTTTTTGCTGATTGTTTGTTTTTTGTTTTTTCCCCCTGGAGCTGAGGACTGAACACAGGGCCTGGCACTTGCTAGGCAAGTGCTCTACCACTGAGCTAAATCTTTAACCCGCCACATCTATTCCCCATTTTGAGGCCATAGTAATCAGATTTTTACGTTTTTAATTCTTAATTTTTTAGTTCTTTGTAAATTACAGAAACTAGTCTATTGAATGAGTGTCCCTGAAAAAATGGTTTCTTTCTCCAGTTTCTCTGACTCTCGATACTATTGAGGATTTTCTTTAATGTAAATTGAATTTGGAGAGATGCCATTAGTCAATACTTGAGCTTTCTTCAATTATTTTCTTGTTCCATTCACAACATCTTTACCCGTAATTAGAAGCTCAAGAATAATCAAAGAAATTCTTTTTTGTTCCAGTACTTAAAAGTTACTTATAAGTATATCACATAAGAATATCTAGAAAATAATTTAACTGACATTGAAACTGAAAATACAATATTTAACTGAGTCTTCAGAGTGCATATTCTCTTTCAGCCTTTAGAAAAATTTCGTACTCTCTACATAGCAGCTGATAATTTAAAACTAATACAGGAGAATGGCCCACTAAGAATTTACATACGTCATATTCTACCGCACAATAATTATGCTGAAGTTGACATCACATTTTATATCAGGTAAGTTAAATTCATTCAAATACAAGAAGCAAAATATTGAATATTAATTAGTAGTGAATGACCACAATTTCCTTGACATTGTGTGAAAAGTGGTCAGTGATGTCAGATGGTTAATAATCACACATATATCATACCTTAATATCATATCAACAGAGGTCAGGTTGTGCTGATATGTTACTGCAGAATGCAGTAAAATGCAATGAAATCCATTGAGATACCAGTGTTGGAAAGTGGTTCATCACATCTTTCACTTTTCATAATTATTTTCATACAGTTTTGTTGTTAATCTCTCAGTTCCCAAGGATTTCTGCAGATACGAGGGAACATGCCTTGGATGTGATCTTGGTGGTATCTTCAACAACACAGTTTGATGTTCTGCAAGGAGAACTTAGTATCAGTAGGTAGAGGAGTATCTACTTGGATCCTAATTCTTATTCATCCATCTGATGAGATGTGTAATTACAGCCAAACATCATCCCATCTACATATTCATGTCAGTTTAACATATGTCTTATCTCATAAAAAATTACATAAACACATCAAAGCAAGATACCAAAACAAAGGTCATGTTTACACTCACATCAGTCAGTAGGAAGTTGTCAATTTGCACTATGCCAGCTTTTCACATAACCTGGGCTAGTGCACATGAGCTGACATGATGAAATACATTGTATTGCCTGTTACCTGTGTTTTTAAGTCCAAGGTTGCATACACAAGGACAATGGGTGAAATTGGAGTTATTGTTATTTCATGTTTAGGCAACAGGATGGATGCCAACTCTACACACTTCTGCTTCACAAATTTTTTACTTCCATCGTAAGCCCATCAGGTGAGTATCTTATACTTTCAGGTGACTATATATATATATATATATATATATATATATATATATATTCCATTAAATTCATACTCATAGTACTTAACAATGTGGTAGCTTTAACAAACTGTTTTTAAAAGTAAACTGATTCAGAAGAGGTTGATATTTGCATCATTGTTTCAGAAACATGGAGACCATTGCAGAGCCAAAGCCAGGGTGAAGATGCTTATGTGACAGCATTCACGATGTTCCCTGATAAGTTCTCTACTCTCCCAAAAAACTGGGCTCAGAGAGGAAAAAGTGTAACCAGAGGTATGTGAAATAGTAAATCTATTCTAATGGTCCTACATCATTTTGGCTCCTCATCCTAAATTTCCACAGATATCACAACCAATGAACCATGTGGGAACGTTTGCCCATCCTGTTCATCTTAAGTGGATAGGAAGTTTCTAGAAGACATTTTACAAGAGTTTGAAGCAGAAACACTAAAAAATGCACGACATTTAGTGAAATTATTATCAGTTGATTATATGGACAATCTCGGTAACTT